GAAGGCATGGCTAGAGAAAGACTAAAAGCTTTAAACTCTCTAAATTTGTTTTTAAAAATGAGCTGCTGTAGCTCAACTGTTGGCTGTGAAAGGAGTTGGGAGAGAGAGCACAGCACAGCTCCCATCACCAAGATGCATCCCTCAGACCCTGCACTCCTGTCAACTTCATGTGGTTTCCATTCCAAACCACAAAATTCTGACATTTTCAGGCTCAGGTTTCACAAGACCTGGCTGTTTTCTTCAGCTTTTAGTATTAGAGAAGGCTTTATGAAATTAAGGCTTTACTAAATTATCTATGCTTGTCAACAGAAGTCCAGAAGGGGTAACTTAAACCACTCCAAAGGAACAGAAACCAGAAAAAAATCCAATGATCTTCCTAACTACCAGAGAGTTGCCATCAATTTAAAGAATAGAGACAAAACAGACAGGCTAACACCTAGAAGGAGATCAAATCCAGGGTGAGGGGAGTTTCCAACTGCAGGGCTGGATGCTGATCTCCTAAATGACCCTGTCCCATACCAGCACAGACTTTTTTTAATGTCTGTATCCTCCCAAGAGGATGCAGGCACAAATACCTGCTACATGAATATATGACAGGTTCAGCCGAGTCTTTTGAGCATCTCTGACCAAAAATGGACAGTGTGATCACCCTGCCTTTTCTAATTATGGGCTACTGAAGATTAGCAGCAGGAAGGAAATACTGGGAAAGGGCTGGGACAGAACCAACCAAGCATGCCCAGCCCTCCTCATGAGCTCTGCTGTTCTGAGCACAGCCACCACCCAAGGGCTCTCTGTTAATGCCCCTCACCAAGTCATCTCAGCGTGCTGATTTGGCAATAAACCTCCTTATTTATCCTGGTTTTCTGCTGGGTTAGCCCGCTGGAAAGGCTCAGCTAAGGGCCACCACCATGCCAGAGCCCATGCAAGAGGCACCGAGAGCAAGGAGCAGCCAAAAGCCATGGACAGGGCAGGACTGAGCCCACACAGCTCCATCAGCACAGGCAGGTGTGCAGCACAAGCCAAGGGAACATCAGCTGCTGAATCCTTCTGCAACTCACCCTCTGCCAGCCTGGTGTTCTCCGTGCTGTTGAGCAGCTGGGGCAGCCAACAGCCCTCTGCCCTCACACCCTGCTGCCAGAGCTCCTGAGCATCCCAAGCACCACCACCCTGCGGTTTCAGGTGCTGTGCCAGGGTCCACCTCAGCCCTGGCATGCAGCCTGGCACTCCCTCAGCACTTCAATGAAGCGGGCTGCACCCAGACTCTGAAATATGGGAGTTGTGAAGGCAGTCCTTCAGCCACAGCCAGGTGTGCAAGCCCTGCTCTGCCAGCACCTCAAGCTGTTCTGGTCAGGTCCCCTCAGCCCTGCAAGCAGCACCACACGTCCCATCCCTGCTGCTCGACACAAGGGCTCAGTCTCAGTCAGCTGTGGGTGCAGGACCTTGAACAAGTACTAAATAAATGAACAAGTCATTTCCTGCAAGGCCAAACACGCTCCCTGCCAAAGAGGTCACATACCACGCTCTGGCCTGATGCCTCTCCCGAGTTTGTGAGGGTAAATTCCCATATCCAGGGGTCCAACGATTACAGCAATACATCTGGGCTAGGATTACTCAGGCTGAAGCTAGGATTACGTTCCGCTGAAGAAGTGAGGAAAACAACTGCTTGTGTGCTTTCATTGCGTGACCTCCAAAGTTCGGTTTGGGTTTCTCGGTTCGCACAAACCAAAACACTCCAATCAGGGAGTTTTCACTTGAACTCTCAGCTAGAGGAGCGGGATCTGTCCCACCAAGGTTCTTCTGTGTTATTTGGGCAGGAAGGAGATCTGTAAGGAAAAGCCCTTTGAGGCAGAGCCCGTGACAAAGCGGTCAGGAGCAAGCAGCCTACGTGGCTCATTGCAGCTCCTCCAACCAGCTCAGGGGTGGAAGGCGGACGTGCCCCGGGATCTTTGCTCCCCATCTCTCATCACACCACCCAGGATTGCTCAGAGGCTTTCTAAGAGTGTGCTCTCATGACATGGATGCTTTCAACACCCCACAGCCCACAAGGAGCAGGCGAATACCAGCCCTGTGAAAAACAGCCTGAGCTTCGTTTTTAGGGTAAGTCCCAGAGCCAGTCAAAACGCATCTGGCGGGCCCTGCTCCACCATGCTGAACACTTCAGTCCCATCAAGTTAAAACAAGACTTAAAAAAAACCTGAATCTTCCACACTTGAATCACACAGGCCACTCCAAGTGCTTGGATGTGCCCATCCCCATGAGTAAGGGCTGCAGAATCAGACCCAGCTTTTCCTCACCATCCTGCCAAAGACACAGACACAAAGGAGAGGAGAAGAATCCCACTGACTGATGCCCCTGCTATTTCTGCTGTCCGTGACTGCAAACTGGTAAGAGGCCTGACTCAGAAGCCTCCCTTGAAAAACCTGAATCATTACAATTTAGAAGGCAGTCTCATATAATGAAGTCTTCACTCCTCCCTCTCTTTAGAACAGAGAACTCGAGTCACACTGATGGGGGGGATAAAGAGGGAAAAAAAATAAACCAAACTTCACACTTTGTTCAACCCTTTCTGCACGGGTGGCAGTCGGGCAGCCAGAGGTTGGCAGCTGGATCTGGGGTCTGCAGGGCTGTGTTTGGTCTCACTTACACCTCTCAGTTACCAGTGTGACCTCCTTAATGCCAGAGCACAACCACAGACTTACACTGCCAGCAAGTGAGAAAGGGGCACCCCAGCTGCATGATCACTGCCCAGACAAACTGTGAACTTGGATTTCTTCTTAGCACCATATCTATTTCCAAACGCTTGTCCCTTGTGGGATAGAGAGATCATTGGAATGACCCTCACAGAACACTATAATGTTTTAACACTTTTGTTATTACACATCATTTAGCAACAGCAGATCTCAAACTCACTTCACAAAGTAGCCTTATTTTCGAGACCCAGCCAAACGAGACATGGAGAGATTTGATTAAGGCCCTCAGAAAAGCAGGGGGAGCTACCAGGGCAGAATCCCAGAGCTCATGGCCTGTCCCCTAGAGCTGCCTGCTCCAGATGGAGCACTGCTGTGGTTACCTGCCTCTTGCCTGTTTCCTGTGGAGACGTGCCAGCACACACACCTCACAAGGAGGCTCTGGCACCCAACACCCTCTGCACGCACACACACACACACACACACACACACACACACACACACACACACACGTCTGCAGTGATTCCAAAAGCCTGGCTCCTCCACATCCAGGCCACGGCTGAAACGGTGCCTGAGGGGAAGGGGACTGACAAAGAAAAGCTGCAGCACTCTAAACGAGCGTGCATCATTCAAAGAGGTGATTCAAGCCTAGGTTTCTGAGCTGGATCACACCTCGACACCAAGGCTCTCCAGGAGCAGCAGTCACTGCAGCACCCCGGGCAAGCCTGTGCCCAACCTCACACTGCCATCGGTCCCTCTGGCACCGGGGATGTTGGGAGCTGCTTATGCCATGTGCACTCCGAACAGCACACAGTGAAAACACCCCAGAGCCTCCTGCCAGGGCAGCAGAGAGAGAGATGCCAGTCGACACAAAAGCACCACAAAAGTTGATGCTGTGGATCCTAAATGCTGTTTTTATGTGGGAAAAATACTGAAACAACTACACAGAAATACATCTTTCCACCTCCTGAACACAACACAAATGCTGGAGAGCATCAGGCTGTATCTGAGGCTCCCCAAGAGCCCACTCACTTTGGGCCCGTGCAGCATCAGCAGATGCAGTGGATGCTGTGGTAAATTTCCCCCTGTGACATGATTCTTCTCCCTGTCACTCCTGGCTCTGCGTGACAAATGCCATTCCTCACCTCTCGGATTAACTTTGAGCAAACTCTGATCAGGCTCCCAAACTGAAGGAAAGCAGCCAGAGCCCTGACACAAGTCTGCTGCACCAGCTGGGGAACACTCGGGCAGCTCAGGCAGAGCACAAAGGCACCTGTGGCACCAGCCTCTACAGCAGAGGGAGATCCTTCTGCACATGCAGGGACCCCAAATCACAGGATGGGAAGGAGCACTGCACTTAAGAGAGAGGAGTGCACTCTCCATCTTCCTGCTGAAGAGGGCACAGGTGTGGCCCCAGCACCACAGCCCTTCTCACCAGCAGCCTTTGAAGTTTAGGTAAAGCAAGGATGGATATTGGTGTCACACATCTGCATCTTCCGTGCTGGCAGACCTGAATACACCTCAGTACATACATAAACTCCTGTTTACTTACAACGACGGTCATGTTTTTCGTGGCCTTACTTCTTGGAAGCAACCACCACGTTTGTAAGAAAAAGCATAAGTTTTAGAAGACATGTGAAAAAAAAAAAAAGACAATTCGATTAAATTGAGGGCATAAAAGTCCCGAATCTTAAAAACACATCCCAACATCGTAACACTCCACAAGAAACACTGCGTTCAAGCCGTAGCTGGTGTTTGTGCTCTTCCCTGAACATCAGAGCATTCCTCACACCATGCTGGACACCGTGAAACCCTTCAGACACGTCTGTTTATTCAAAAAGCAAATTCGAGTCACGGAGGCGTACGCTCTTCTTTCCTTAAAGGCAAATAAGCCTTGCCTAATTTCTGCTTACATTCGCGGCTCCACAGAGCAACAACGCGAACCGCTTCCCACCGCCCCCCGCGCAGCCCAAGCGCGGCGGGCAGGGCACCCCCGAACCCCGGGGCTCCACAGGAGAGCTCCGGGCACTCGGTGCCCGCCGGGACCCCCGGGGCAGGCGGGCCGCGCTCCACACGCCGAGCTCCGCCAAGTTTCACGCTGCTCCGGCGGCCGCCTCCGGCGCGCAACACCGCGGCTCGGGAGGGCCCCGGCGCGGACCCCGTGAGGGAGCCCCGGCGCGGATCCCATGAGGGAGCCCCGGCCAGCGCGGACCCCGTGAGGGAGGGAGCCCCGGCCCCCGCGGCGCCGCCCTCCTCCCCGCAGCCGGGCTGGGCTGGCCCGGCCGCTGCCCCCCGCCGCGGCCCCGCACTCACCGCCGCGCCCGGCCGCGCAGCCGGCCAGCAGCAGGGGCAGCAGGGCCAGCAGGGCCAGCGAGCAGAGCGCACAGCGCTGCCCCCGCAGCAGCCGCCGCCGTCGCCGCTCCGCCGCCGTGCCCGGGGCGCCCATCGCGGCCGCTCCGCTGCGCTCCGACCGCTCCCCGCGCCGCGCCGAGCCCCGCCGGGCGCCGCAGCGCCGCCTCCGCCCGCCCACCGCGGGCGGGACGGGGCGGGGGCCGCACGGCGGCGGCGGGGTCGGCAGGGCTCGGCCCCTCCTCGGGCAGCGCTCGGAGCGGGCACGACGGCGGCGCGGTGCCCGCTGCCGGCTGCCCGCCTGCCTGGCTGGGGCTGGCTGGGCATCGCCTGCGCTCGGCGTCGCTCCATCGCACCCATCGCACCTCCCGCCACCATTCGGGACCGCGCGGCATCGCCGCCTGGGCTACGGCCTGTGCTGTGTGGGACACAGAAAAGCCCCAGCGCATCGTGACCCCTCACCTGTGACCCCGGGCACGGCCCTCGCTGCCACCCCTGCGCCTTTCAGACAGCCGGGAGGTTTCTCATTGCGGGTGGCTGGGGATTTTTTCCCGTTTCTCACACTCTGCCCTCAACTTTTTGCCAGGTGAGCAGCCACCTGCCCTTCATCCCGGTCCTATGTGAGCCCTCTTGCCTCTCATCATTCTACTGGGCACCCTGGCACCCCTCTCACACACCTCTGGAGAGCTGTGCCATCCGGACAGCCCACGCACAGCCACCCCAGCCCTCCTCTGCTGGGGCTGCCGTGCTCGAGAAACCTGGACCAGCCAGAACCTTTCTTCGCCCCTTTCTTGTAATGTCGTAATTGCTGCTGGAACATTGACACAAACGCCTAGAGGCTGTGCTGAGCCCGGAGTACTGTGCACACACCAGGGAACAGCTGCCCCTGCAGGGCCCACACTTGTGGAGACACACCATTATCCAGGGCCCTGGAGTTTCACAAGCAAACGACCTTTTTTGTCTGGAATGCCACCTTCATCTGAGATGAATAGGACAACAGAACAAATACATCTGTTACCAAGATCTGTCTGTTCCCCAAGAAATGCCATGGCATGCTGTACACAGAGTGAAATGAAAGTAAACATCACTGTCAGTAGCTCTGGTCAGTTACCAACCTTTCTCAATGAAGACACTCTCATTCTGGGGCAGCAAAAATTTACATGCACCCACCCTCTCCTGACAGGGTTTCTGCCAGTTCTGAACTTGACCAGGATGTCAGTTTCCAACTCTACTCTTACACATTCACTGCTTATGCTCCTACACACAACTTTAACAACACAGGTGTCTCTGTTGGCCCAGTGTAGGCAGAGCCAGCTCCCACCCAGACAGTAAAGGGAGTTGAGAGCTGGCCTAGGATGTAACTATGGAAGAAGGGTTTTGTTTTGGTTTTTGTTTTTTCCGGGTAGGATACACTCCCTTCCCCCTGGCAGGGCAGGTTTTATCCCATGGTAAACAGCTCTGAAACCTGCAGCACTGTCAAACACTACAGCAAGTCACTCCAGATGAGGAAAGAGATCCTGACTGTCACCAATTGATGCCATGGGAAAGCAGTCATGGGTGAGAGAGGCTTGGGGGTGAAAGCCCCATTGCTGACACCACAGAGCACCGTGACAGTGCTCCCAAAGTACTCCCTTTACATTTAAATGTCTCTTTGTAGTCTAAAACTTCTTGAAAATGTGACCCTGAGAGTCACTGCAAAATCATTACTCATGCCTCCATCGAAAGCTTCCTCTGGTCCCTTTGCAGGGCTGCTTGTAAATACCAGGTGAGAGCTCACTGTCTTGAGAAGCTCAGGAACAAATCTCCCACTCAGAATCACAAGAATGCCTTTCTAGTGTAGTGAGTACTAGCTCCTGAAGCATGTGCATTTCTGGGGAGCAGAGGACAGGAGAATTCCCTCTTCTCTCCCACTATTAAACTGGTGTGTGGGTGGAGCAGGCTTTGAGCGGCTCCGTCTGCAGGAAGAAACAGAAGGAAGGGAACCGTGGTGGATGTTACTCTTCTGAAAGAAACACTCTATATTTACCTTCTACAGGAGTCTTCTGCACAAAAAAAAGCCTGCTAAAGACCAGACATGCCTAGCATGCTGATGAGGGTTACAGGGTTTGCTTTGTGGCACCTGTGCCACGCTTGGTGCCACGCAGAGCTTTCTCCACGGAGGGCCACGGATACTCTGGAGAGAGGCCCCTGGAAGGTTCCCACAGAGCTGGCTCTCAGAGGGGCAGGAAGATGTGCTTTTGTTCCTTCCACAGTGCAAAACCACATAAAGCAGTGGGAGAGAACTGTGTAAATCACAGGATACAGATGTGCAGAGATGACAGCCAGATGTGCCTTAGCAGAGCCGAGGAGCAGCCGTGACTGTTGCAAGGAGAGCAAACAGCCCTCGCGTACTTGGCATCTTCCCCTGCAAGCCACGCCAAGTTCTGAGCTTCAGACCAAACAGAGATTTTTCTTCTGTTTGGACTTGCAGATTATGCTCACAAAGAGCTTTCAACCCTGGAGAAAAATATTTGGGATTCAAGCAGAGCACAATCGATGCGCATTGGCCGGGCAGAATCCAGCTGCCAGTGCGGGTGATCCCCAGCTGGCGGGCAGCACCCCAAGCCAGTTTGAAGGGTTGAAGTGGCCCTGGAGCCTTGGCCAAACATGGACAGGGGGACCATGTGGCTGGGGCTGAGAGTACCTGCATGGCAGAATCACCAAGTCTCACTGCTGCTGCATTCCACACCCCCACCTGCGGCACTCCAGCTGGGTCTCAGAGGACAGCAGAAGGGTTCCCTGTCCTGAATTCCAGTCCTAGGCCTTGCCTTTGCATCACAGCTCCTGTTCCCTCCCTGCCAGTGTCTGCCTACATGGAAAGCTGTGCCCTCACCTCAGGTGTGTGCTGCTGGCTGTGATATTTGCTTGTTCCTCCTCCCTGAGCGGTTCAGTGCCAGGGCTGTGGCCGAGCTCCAGTTCCAGGTTAAAAGCAGCAGAGAGGTGACTTGGCATTGCCTCTCCTGTGAGGTGAGAGGGTCTGGCTTAAGCCAGCTGTTCAAGCCCCAAACCTTAGACACACTCATGCATCCTCTGCAAGCCACAGGGAGGATGCAATTAAACACGCTGCTGATTGCTACTGCTCTCTACATCCTGCCTGCTCAGCGAGCTGAAAACCTGCCCAAGTGCCCTGCTGCCAGGTAGAGCTGTTAAAAACGGGAACAGACTCCACAACTACAGTGATTTCAGCATTTATTATAATAAAAATGAAGGTCTAAAGTACGGGGGCTTGCAGGCTGAGTGTTCCTGTCAAGGATGCTGCAGCACCGGTGCTGGGACTTCTTCAGCAGCCATGTCCCCGAGGTTCCAGGTGGAGCAGCACTGCTTCCCTGGGTCAGATGCCCCTTTTTATCCTGTTTTTTGTCCCTTTGGATTGGTTTCTTTTTGGATCCTTCATTTGCATGAAGGTTTTAGGCACTTGATTGGCCCATCACAGTTCTCTCCAGTGATGCGCTTTCCTTGTGTGTAATACATTGAGTAGCTATTTCTTATAACTACCATTTTAACCCCTTTTACCATAATCAAACTAACACTACACGCTTAACAATTATCAACTATTTTACAGCAGTTTCTAGCCTATTTTTAACAGAGCTGCCCATGTGAATGAGCTGGTTTCAGCAAATCCAGCCAGCCGTGCCCCGAGGGAGCCCAGGGAGCACCAGGATGTCATTGCAGTGAGGACAAACCTCCTCCTCCCAGTCACACACACCCCTGCTCCAGGTTCAGGCTGGTTCAAAAGGCTGCCCAGCTGATGGGATTTTAATGTAAAAGTAGTTTACAGGAGTTTAGGCTACGCCTGTTCCCGTTTTATTTAAGAACTTATTTAAATAAGTTTGCATCTGCTCAGATAAAACAGCTTAAGGTCACAGCCTTGGATAAAGCTGGGTGTCCTCCTCCTGAAGGCTGGCTGCTCTCTCCTCTCTCTGAAAAGCTTGTACAAAAGTGCTTGTACTTAAAGGTTTTGTGGTGAGCTCAGGGTTTCAGGGAGGCCTGACGTACAGGAGGGAGCAGAGGGGACACACTCACCGTGTTTCAGCTCCCTAGGAAAACAAACTGGGCTGTGACAGAGCTGGTTTCTGGCTCTCCTTCTGCCAGAGGGTTTTGGGGTCTTCGGCAGCTAAAGGAAAGCAACAGCATCCAGTTACCTCACTCCTTTTCTGGTCTGTACCCTTTCCTTAGGGTGCACATTTTTCCAAAGCTTTCCACGTCCTCTCTTCTTGATTCACAACTAAACACACACATGAGCAAACAGACTAAATAAAACTGTATACCCTGTATTTGTATGTGTATTTGTCTCCCTTTTTGAGGCTTGCAGGTGGTTTCTCCTGCAGCCCCATTTTTGGGCGCTGTTTTCTCTTACCAAGGCCAGAGAGGCAGGATGGAGCAGGACAGCCCTCCCCTGCTGGAGCTGCTTGTCCCAGCAATTATCCCTCTGCTACTGCTGAATCTTTGGGAATATCTTGTGCTTCAGTGGCGAGAAGCAATTACCAAATTGAGTATGCAGTGCATAAAAGCCAACTAGGGTTCTTTCTGGATGAAAGAGGCAATAAAAACGCTGGTATTTATAGAAAAATATTTATTACTTCATGGGATATCAGGGCTTCCTGTGGTTTGAGGCTGTGCCTTGCATAGCTCATTGCTGAATGCCTCAGGATGACACTTTTTTTTTTTTTTTTTTTTATTTTAGCAGCAGCCTATTTGCTCTCCAGTCAATGGTCAGGTTTACAAACAGAGTGATTCTGTGTCCCCTTGTGGGTTGTCCTCCCCTTCTGTGGGCTGGTGGTGTGTGTGTGCACATCCCACCTTGGGAAAGCCCAGGGAATAACAACAGCTCCAGAGGAAAGCTCTGCTCTTCTACCTGCCTGATGGCACTGGAAAAAAAAAAAAGCAACACTTAATAAAATTAAAGGGCAGACAATTCAAAACAAATGCAAATGAAACCCTATTACATGCAGTGAAATTGCCCTGGAGGACCCTTTGCCACAGGAAGATGTTTCTGAAGCC